AATCAAGATTTTCAAGAGTATTTTGGGGGTTTATATACCTTATACTTTCGGTTGGGTTAGGAGTGGGGGTGTGAAAGTGCTTTTTCATGTGCACCTGCTCTCTCCATTTTTCCTGAGCCTTCATTATCCCTGGGCTTCAGAGACAGTCAGACACCAATTTGTGCCATTTCATTCGACGGAGTGAGGCAACCTTTATTTACAGCTGTACTGAGGGTCTTCTTCTTTGTTTTGTGTTTATCGCTCGGTAACACGACATTCAGAGATGCCAACGTAAAAAAAAAAATTGAAAAAATGATTACCCAGGAGATCCCCAATTTCACCTTTTGTCTCTCTCTCTCACTGCTAGTTAGCTTAGGTCTGCACATCATGCAAGGCATGGGTATTATTACACAGCATGTGTACGCTAGGGTTGAAACTGACAAAATCAACTACNACCTTTATTTACAGCTGTATTGAGGGTCTTCTTCTTTGTTTTGTGTTTATCAATTGGTAACACAACATTCAGAGATGCCAACGTAAAAAAAAAATTGAAAAAAAGATTTGTCTCTCCCTCTCACTGCTAGTTAGCTTACGTCTGCACATCATGCAAGGCATGGGTATTACTACACAGCATGTGTACGCTAGGGTTGAAACTGACGAAATCAACTACGCTATCAAGTGCACAGCTACCTTATTGTGCAGTTCCAGAAAATATCCATACCTCCCCCACAGAAGGGATCTTTTCTAAGACCTCCCCACCCCTCTGGAAATTCCAGTTAAGCTTCACACATTTCTTTAAATTTTTTGGTGTTTGAGAATCTCCCACTCCTCAAGAAATTCCAATCCCTTTTGTGGGGGAAGTATGGATATTTTCTGGAACTGCACATTACAGTGTGTCAAGGATGCTAATTGTGTTGTTGTGACCATTTTGTTACAAAAAAATACCAAAAGAAGTTTTTATGTTTACTTACTGTTTGCCATGTACATGTATTATAAAGATAATTATGGTTAATAAATATGACTCGGTTTTGTGTTTTATTTAAGGCAAATTCCAATGAAATCTGTGAACGAATAATTTTTGTTCATTTAGAAAGGAAGTTGATGTCAGCATTTTTTGTTGAGCCATTTGAATCACCCAAGAAACCATTTTAAAGCTTTAATTATCTGTTTGATACATGTTTCTCAGCTGTTTGTTTTGCCCGTTTTAACGGATAGCTGTTGGTGTATGTTTTCCCATGTGAGGTCACAGTTGTTTGGTAAAATGTGCGGCTACTCCCAGTTTTCTTTTTGGATTCCAACTGCCCTTTCTAAGATCTTCTTTTTCTACTTGCATGTAGTCCTACTTTGGGCAATAGACCTTTGTTTTTAGTAGGCACCATTCTTAAGGCTTTCTGTTCACATCTATATTGTGGCAAGGTATCAAAGGCAAAGGACCAAGGCATATTTAATTTGTGTAATGGCTTACATAAATTAAAAAGCATGTAGATACACTGCTCATATTGATCTGACTTGTGATATGTGATGATAAAAGCAAATCTTTTTCTGTGTCTTTTGTAGACTCAGCTGCTCATAATTTTATCAGACCCTGTTGCTAAACGAAAGGTAAGATTTATCCGTGTAATTGGATAGTTATTGTCCTAAGATTTCATCATAATAACCAAATCTATTAATATATTGTTGCTGTAAATTTTTTTTTAGTATCAACAACAGGTTGCAGTTTTCATTGTTGGATTTGAAAATCTTTGTGGACGAAGGGCAAGGGTAAGTGTTATTACCATTTCTTGAGTATTACTTCACTTAACTGTGTGACTGGTTCCTGTGTGTTGTTGCTTACCCCTTGGACTGTCTTGTGAAAGAATGAGAGAATGAGAGTGAATAATGCAGTACCTCAACATAATAATAAATAATTAGCTTCAATTTTTCTGATCTAAATGAAATATTTTATTTCCTTCAGCTTTTAGCCCAGTTGCAAGAGGTAAGCAAGCAAAATAGTATTTATAATTATTAAAATATTAACTATTAGTCTTATAATCAATTTCATATAAAATTATTTTATTTAAAAAATTAAATTCTTGAGGTAGACCTATAAAAATTAGAAATGGAAATTTGCAGGGTGGTCAAAGAGACTGCATGAGTGTTAGGCCATTTTGAAATGGGCTGGCAAGCAGCAATTTTGCAGCTTACGCTAAAATTATTTGCTGCCTACTTTACACTGGAATACTCTTATCCTGACTATAACTAACAAATCCATCTCTGGTCTTCCTCGTCTACTACTTCTGAATCTGTTATCCTAAATGCCACTACAAAGCATTTTGGCCAGGCTGGATATTGGCTGTGCAGTTGTTTTTTGGAAAATGTTAATGAAGATGTTATATTAAACATTCTATTTTTCCAGAGGAGGAGGGGAGGATGAAAGCCATATAATATCTGCCACGTTAAGTCTTTTTTCTGCAGTCAGCAGATATGAAAAATTAAAGTATATTTTGTGTGAATTAACAAAAAAGAGTTATTACTTTTTCAAGTTGTTAATATATTTAGTAGTCAATGCAATAGATAATGTATCCTTCTCTTTCAGTTTTTTGTACAAAATGGGAGAAATGAAGATCAGTTTGATGTAGAGCCACCAGAATTTGACATTGAAGATGTTGGTGCTCAAGTCAGGTAAACATGAATCATTCAATTGACATTCACAGGGTTGTAGCTCAGAAAATAGTCTCCTGGCTAAGATTTTCATTAGGCTGGTCACCATTTTTTGTGGGAGACCTGGAACAAAATTTTTGTCCCCAATCTTTGGCAACGCCTTGAATGTGCGGATACCAAGCTTTGTGTTTACAAGATGGCAGACGCAGTACACGGAAAGAGAACACGCTAAACATGTGATCACAACAAGATTTTATGTCAATTACTTTACTTGGTACGGTGGCACTGATACTCTAGGTAGTCAAGAATTTATTCCAAACTTTTGATTTAGGCGGTTCAATATGCCTGTCCAGATATCAAATGATTGTATGTGCATAGCCTAAAAACCTTTTACCAAGTGATGACCCCCCAAAATCCAGTCGGCCATTGCCTCTTTCTCAGCCGGCAAATTTAACCGGCAGCCGATGCTTAGGAACAACCCTGTATTCATGACCATGTGTGAATATTGTTGTGGTTTGAGACTATTGGAGTTATTTTCATTATGCATACATTCACGAAACAATAGGATACTTTATTTAACATGGAGTTATGCTTACCTAATCAGCTAGTTTACAGGTAATCTAGACCCTAGTATATTCTAAAATTAAAAACTAAAAATGTACAATAATTGATCGTATAAAACTATAAATGCAGAGAACTAAAAATTTAGAGAGTCAAATTACAATAAATTCTGATATCAGTCAAACTTAAGCGATCAAATTTTGTTGTTCACTTCATTAGTGCCTACTTTAGTTCTTGTATCATTTGTTAGCTCGTTCCATTTCTTTGCGGCAAAATATCTCCATTAGTTGTGTTAATTTTCATAAGGTGGTAAGATTTTTTAATTGCAGATGGAGCTTTGTCTGATATACAATTGTTTATTGTCAATAGCATGTCTTGGATTCTTCAAGTTTCCTTGGAATGGGAGTCTGATTCTTTGCAAGAGATCTTGATAAGATGCACTTTTTTCTTTGAAGGTGTACCTCAAAGGTCTTTTGTTGACTCTTCCTTCTTTTTCCACAGACAGGTGCCAGACTTGGTTACAATTAGTTAAAATATGGCAGTATAAATGTGCAGTGTGGCGTTTCCTTAGTTTTAGTGGTAAAATATCCTTCAGTTTGAATTGTATAAGCTTAATCAAGTTGACTTGCTGTTTGTATTTCAGAGATGCCCTGGACAAAGCAGAAAAAGCAACACAGCGACTGGCCACAGTCTCAAAAGATGTCATCAAAGCTTTAGAGATAGTGAATCCTAAAGAAACCAAAAAGTAAGTTAATAAACATGAATGACTCAGTAATGTAACTTATTGGGGTTACTGGGACATGTATGTGTAGATCATGCCTAGTTTTAGATCATCCTGCCATAGGCAGTGGTACAAACTGCTTGGTCTTAAAATTGAACACACATACATGTAACCTTTGAAATAAATGGTCTAAACAGACCTTTAGATAAGTGAAAATGTACATGTACCAGGAAATTAAGTAGTAGATTGTATGGCTGGTCAAGATGATGTCAAGAACAAAAGAATGTCTGGTTTTATGTTGACCATCTTAACATGCCTTTTAGCTCTTAACCTCTAGTTCTTAAAGGGACACAGTCAGCTTTGGGGCCACGCTGACCTAGACACTAGTTTTCTCACTTTGAAAAGAGTTCACCTTAACCTGAAATCAAAGATACGCGTCGAGTACATCTAGAAATCCGAGGGTGAAGAGTGCTTTGCTTTACTTTCAATCGTTTACTGAAAAACCTGTTTTTTAGTGTGCTCTTGCTCATCCTATGATAATATTTCATCAAATTTGGTTAAAAACAGTATGGATTGCATCTCCGTGATATGCAAATTAGCTATGAAATGTGCATGTGCGCCAGCTGACTGTGTCCCTTTAACAATGATGTTTATTTTGGAAAATACAATGTACCTTGTCTTGGTCATTTTCTGGCAAATTAAGTAAGGGCAGTTTTCTGTGAAGAGTTTTGTTGTGACAAGCTTAACTTTGTATGATGATCTCAGTGACAATGTATATTTAAGGTCACTTAGTTTTCTCCAGAGTTTTATGCTTACCTTGACTGTCTTCAAGACAAAATAGTAAACTTAGTATGTGAATATGTAACTGCCCTGAGTTGAGAGAACTGTACTTACAAGTCTAACAGGTACCGGTATGCTAGAATAGCCCATTTCTGAGTTGCCTTAAGCCTCCCTATCAAAGTGAGGCCTGGTGCTCAACCACTTATATGAAAATGAGTTTAATTTGCATGTGAATGAAAACTCATTTTCATATGAAAGGTTGTGCACCAAGACTCGCTTTGAGAAAGAGGCTAAAGGTAATTTGGAAATGGCCTATTCAAGTTTCATCAAACTCTGTGTACTTACATAGACATTTGGAAAACTGAATTGTGGCCAGTCAGAGTCTCTGGATCTGGAATGAAAATGCTTGATTACTAATTCATGTATACCGCCTTCTAAATAGAATTGAATAATTAGAAAATTTACTCAAAAGGCAAGCTTTTTTGTCAATAACCCAACTGGGGTTTTGGAAGGCTTACTTATATGTACTCCTAATAATGTAAAATTGAAGGATAAGAATATTTACTCAAAAGGCTAGCTTTTTTAGCAATAATTCTAATTATATTGAGGTTTTGAAAAGCTTTTATTGACAATATTGTCATTTAAATAAACTCTAAACAGTCATTAGCTTTGGTCCATTGAAAGTGTTTGGCATGCATATCATCAATGCTCATTAATTGGTTTCTTTGTGAGTCTCTCAAGGGGCTGCCTCAATAGTCATATGACTATTGTTCATATGCTAATGTTAATACTGTTGCTAGGCATTTTGAAGAGAGGGCTTAGATTTCAGTTAAACATAACCCCCTGCAGCAACAGGTCAACACACGAGACAGTCACTTTTGTCTGTGGTGTTGAGTTTCACTTGAAGTGATCAATCCAGTTGGGCAAAGGAAATCAATGTACTCTTGAAACTCAAAGGATATTAAACACATCTGGCAATGGGTTGGTTTCTAGTGTTAACTTGTAGTTACTCAGTTGTAATACCTAGTTGAGTCATCACTTCATCGTTTTGTTTGTTCACTAATTAACAATAACTTTAGTGTTTGGTCAAGTAGCAAATCTGTATATCGCTCAGAGTTACTATCAATTTATGCTTGCTGTGGTTTCTTTTCAGTGAATTGGTTGATCTCAGCTGACAAATTTTGTACTTTCTGTTTTTTGAATTGTTATAAAGCACTCTTAAAAGAAAGTACAGTAGTCTTGAACTTTTATTTGTGTATTAGCACATTCGTTATGAAAACTGTGAGTGTTAATCCATTTGCAGTGATATGCATTTTAATTAAATTTGTTTCACATGAGAAAGAACAGACGTTTCTAAGCCCAGTTACTTTTCAACGTTTATTGGTTACTAGTTATTTGAGTAGAGCCACCCATATCTCTTTTAAGTCACATGTAAGTACTTTGGCTCTACATCTGGATTTAATAAGTCTTTAACATATGCTTTGTTTAGATCTATGTTGTATTTTTATATATCTAGACATGTACATTAGGTGTCATTTATCATGACCTCAATTTTAGAATCATCTTGTTTCTTAATTTATACTTTTAAGTAAGATAATATCTGTTGAGATTGAACAGCCATTATTTTTCTTTTGTTAGGGGGAAAAAGAAACTTGAAAAAGCTCTTCAACAGGCACAGCAAGATATCATGTCTCTCACTGAAAAACTGATCAGAGTACAAAATGGTAAGTCCATGAATAGTTGTTTAGAACTTTTGTGAAAGAAAATTGTAAAAGTCTCTATCCAGCAGATACAAATATATGAAAAATATGGTTTCATTATTGATACATGGTTGTAAATCTTGTGAAACAGCCAAGTTAAGTACATGTTATTGTAAACATCCTGACTTTTAATCATTCAATTTAGCAGAGAGAGTAGAGTCTGCAGTCATCTTTATCTGAACTATTAGTAATTGGACACTGCACTTGCAAAATCAACATGAATGCACCTGGAAGTTGGTCTTTATTAACATGCATCCCCTTGTAATTTTGCTTGATGACTAAAACATGTGTATTTGCCTAGTGTCTTATGTGTATATTAAAAATTTATATATATTGTTAGTAGTGGTTCTATGTTGCGTGTTGATTGTGAAATAATGTTTTTGGAATCAATTTGTTGTAGATCTTGAGGACAGTGAGGGTAAGATGTCCCAGATGTACAAGTCCATGGAGATGAAACAAGTGGAAGTTGAAAGGTATTTGCTATATAACTGGCTGGAGTGGATTTGGATTTGATTTCACTTGGAGGAATTTTGCAAAATATTCACTACATGTATCTAGTTAAAATAAACTGTTATTATCAATTCTTTGGGCTTTGTGGCGCATTTTGCAGGCTAAACTGAAGAATTTGGCGGGCTAAAATGTATTTTGGCCCGCTGAGATAAATCAATGAAAATTGAGAATCAAACAATTATGCCATGTAAGCAGGCAATCAAAATCAAGAAACCATTACCACAATTAGTCGTCCGTTTATTTCAAGAGAAGCCTTTGATGTAAATACCACATGTAGTAGCTCTATGGCCGGTGGTGAAGTACACCTGTACATGTAAGTTTGCGGCTTCAAGCCAAAGGCTCTCAGTTCAACCAAGTATGCCAAACTGTCAGTTTAGCAATTGTACAATTAATTCAATGCTTACAAATAAGCTTTATTGATCTTTCCTTTCATGAATGTCTTCTACAATTTTTGAAAACTCAGATGGCAAGATTTGGTAATTTCTAGCCAGCTTCGCTTGATGTGTTGTGTATTTTCATTGAGGGAAAATAAAAGCCTTTCAACTTGTAAACCCTCTCGTGATTGTTCAGACTGTTTTTATTATTGTCATTTTAGTTTTTATTTTCTCAATGCCCTTGAAGGTGATAATAATAGTAATAGAGTTTATGTTCTTTAGCATAAATATGTTTTGGGCCCTTCTCAGAGCTCATTTAAACCCTTGCTTAGCGGCTCGGGCTTAAATGAGTCTGAGTCAGGCCCAAAACATATTTACGTCTGCGGACAAAACTCTATTACTTTATTATATGTAGATGAAACATGTTTATGTTCCATAGACCAGAAAAAGTGTTGAATGCTCTTATCAAAGTAATAATTTGTTATAATTATTATGACTACTTGCTGAATAGTCACATGTTATTTCAATCATCTTTTAAAGGCTCAAAGTTCAAGCAGACAATGCAAAGGTAAGTGATGTTGTTCATGCTCAATATTTTATTTAATCCATGCCACTGATATAGTAGTAGTAACTTCACTTTCTATTAAGTTCATTGAATCATTCCTCAGCACCTCTGGCTTGACAAGGGGTATAGATACTTCACTGGTGTGATTTATTATTATTTTCTTAATTTAAATATATCTGTTTATATGGTCAACTACCATAATTATTAAAATAAATTCATGTAAATAAATGGCTTTCTCAGAGTTGTGATTTCCCTAATTGCCTTTCCAACGATTGAACTCTTTGGTTTACAAGACACTATTTTGGTGTCCCTTTTGGGCATTATTAAACTAAAACAAAAAACTCTCCTAAACAGTGGTAACTGTTTCCTGGTATGTAGTACAGAAATCTGAAATAAACTAATCACATGATACTTATTTTATTTGTTATTGTCCATGTAGAAAGCTGCAGACTCAGTAAAAGAACTGAAATCTGAACTTGCTGTAAAGGAGAACGATCTTCAAAGAGCCAATAAGGTAATCTCTAAATATATTCGTAATATTTCTGTTGAGGATGATCAGTGATATATTTGTTTGTTATATACATAAAATGTAGGTCCTGATTTCTTCAACCTCCTATTAACATGCTTTAAATGTTTTGTTTTTTAAATTACAGTTTGGGATACAGCTACATGTAGCTGGAGTATCCTGTTTGCATGCTTTGTTGTGCTCTATGTTATAATTGGACTCTAATTTTTCTCAATTTTTTTCTAGTCAATCCAAGAACTGGAACTAAGTGTGGCTCATTTGGAAGATAAACAAGAGAGAGACTTTGAAAGACATAAGAAAATACGAGAAGAGAACGAGGTACAGTACTAATTTTCTTGTACAACAAAAATGTTATTTTGAACACATCCATCTGTACAACTTAATAATATTTTGAACAAAGATTTTCAGAATAGCCTTTCAACTCAAAGCAAGGATCTCCTTTATGCTGTAAGAATTTTTTTCTGTCATTATCTTCACTGGCTTACATATAATTTCCACAATAAGTTCTTCTTTGGGAAAGTAAAGAGGTTTATTGGGCTGCAACAAACTCAAGGTGTCGAGGTTGTCAAGGTGGAATCTGTGTTAACTGGATTTCCTGTTGTGGGCCTGTGAGTTCACTTATGCGTCTTAGAAACTTGCTGTTGCAACCTTTAAAAACATACATG